TAAACTGCTTTAACACTCTTGCAATCATTCCATTTGCTAGCATGCATTATATTGCTGAATGTTAGAAATGCTTATGATGCTATTCTATATTGTACTGAACGTTTCTTAGCTGTCTCAGATACTCTGGTGAAGCTAATGGAGTATGGAGATGAAGATGAAGACCTTGAGGAAACCACTGAAGAACCTTTTAAGGACAACTCGGATGCACTACCAGTTCAAAAGCCATTCTGGGCTGTGTAGACCTCAGGTCGTGGGAAATTGTAGGATATCGACCAAGTACGAGTGAACCTAGAGACAGTGTGTTCCAGTGTGTTCCATTTGTGCCGAGGAAGTGCCTGATGTTGCATGTTGCTATGATGATGTTGAAATTGCCCGTACTGCAAGTTGCCTCTCAGCCTGCCACAGTAAAGAGGTTGCTTAACACTGGGTCTTAGCTCTTTAGCATTGGTTGTTGCAAGGTAGGTTGTAGCATGCCAATGGTATATAATCAGAGCTAGGACAAAAGAGTTTAATTTTCAAGGGAGAAATTTGAGGGTTTTTTTTTTGAGGAAAAACCTCTCACGTTACCGATGAGAGTTGAATCAAGTTTATAGTTTGTCTCGAACTAACTCAACATCATTTGACTACTTGTATGGGTTATCAATTTTTAAATATTGTTTTTGGTCATTTTCAATTTTCAAGTTAAAAAGAAGGAAATTTGATATATGGTCTAAATCATGCACAGTATATTCAAGATTAGGGTGTCAATTTGTGCCGTAGGACCAGCATATTGTGTTAGTATCGAGATCTACAAAAAAAAAATCTAGTGTAATTCAAGTGTCAATTGTTAATTTAGACTACATGTTATGCGTGTACCACTCGGTTGACCCTGGTTACAGAGATGGTCACGTTGGAGTACCCGTCTGAACTCACAAACTCATGCTGGGTAAAGTGGTTATATTGCAAAATTGGAAAATGATGTAATAATTAATTGAAGTTATAATAAATTCGAACCATAAAAGAGACTTATCCTCTACAAATATTCTAATTCTACTTCTACTGTAAATAACTTATTTTTGACTCGATCGAAAAAAAATTAATCAAAATGTGCATAAACTAACTAACACACCTTGACAGTTGACAACAAAAAAAGTGCCAGACTAACAAACTGGTACCCTCGGTTACAAAGTTCAAATCAGACGAGATGCAATGTAGGTTGAGAATAAAAAATCCTAATAGGAAAGCTAATTTATTACAAACTCAAACATTGATTTAACTCTTAAAAAAAAAAACAAGAAAGAGGTAATAAAAGAGGGTGAATTTTGGGAGGAGAAAAGAAAAGAGGGTAACACGAATTTATCAACTTCACAAAGTACTAATGGCATAACAAAATGCAGATAAATAAAGTATTCTTATTCAATTGTGTTAAAACTATTTAAGTTTCGACCACCGTCCAGAAGAGAAATCCTCTGCTTCTATCGGTCAAGCAAGAGCAAGTTCTCCGAGGGTAAGCCAAACTTTTCAGCGTTTGGTGTTGGCATAATCATCAGGCTCATTATCGTTATCCTCGAAACTGCCTTCCAACTTGTCCTCGCCAAAGCCTTCATTTCCACCATCTATTAAATCTTGATTGCCATCTAATTGTTGTTCATCGCCTCCATATGGTGTATCTGTGTTCCCACCATACCCAGTGTTAGCAAACCCACTAGGATTTTCACCACCACCAGCAACCCTAGGATTTTCACTGTTGCTGACCCCACCATAAGGTCCAAAACCACCACTATTTCCAGTGCCAAAGGTGCTGCTTCCACCACCATAACTGCCACTGCCACCACCACTCCCATAATTACCATCACCAAATCCACCTCCTCTGCCGTAGCTGCCATCTCCAGCAGTATAGCTGTTACCACCACCTCCATAATTGGCATTTCCATAACCTCCTCCATAACCCCCACCACCTCCACCATAACCTCCACCACCATAGCCTCCGAATCCCCCACCACGAGGCCTATCTGTAGCATAGCTCACTCTTATCCTTCTCCCATGAAGATCCTGAAAAATTACCAAAACTGAAAGTTTGAGCCTAAGATAACCGGAAAATGCACAAGATATGTTATCCTCTCAGAAACCAGATGCCATACCAAGCAAATCATAGTATAAAGGACTTAGTCACCTACCAATCTCGATAATTACAGAAAGGAAAAAAAAAAAAAAAATCTGGTGATCTGTCAATCATATCCATGATGTGTTAGAGATCACTGAAGGTAGAAGAGCCACAGTAGTACCTGTCCGTCTAGGTTCTGCATGGCGCTGGAAGCCTCATCACTTGATGTATAGCTTACAAAGCCAAAGCCTCTGGACCTACCAGTCTCACGATCCATGATAATCCTAGCTGCAGAAAAAGAATGACTATATTGATTGCCAGAGCTTTTCCATATAATAACAAGACCACTTATGAAATGAATTGCTTTGTTGCGCATACTGAGTTTACAGTTGTTGCTAATGAGGAACAAATGTAAAGATGAGGCAGCCACAGTTTTCCCTATATGCACAACAATACGCCACAATAACTGCCTGCCATTTTCTGGTAAGCTTGCCACTACATGAGATCTTTTCAGTACTATGTTATTGCTACCACTGCCAACATCATATCCGATAATATAGAAAACATAGATAATAATAAAAATCCAAAATAAAACCAGAACACGAGGGAAAATTTTTAGATGTGAAATGGACCGATTATGACCCTCAATAACACATCCACATACCTTCCACTACTTCCCCATATTGTGCAAACGCTTCTCTCAAACTCATTTCATCAGTAGCATATGAGATACCTGAAGTAGAAAATGTGAAGTGATTACCACAAGCTAGATGTAAATGTAGTATCTACATAAGAAAAGAAAGATTTATGCACCTCCAACAAAGAGCTTTGAAGATGACATGCATCTTATGGCCTGGTAAAGTGATGTATTGGAGGCAGATAATTCCGAATTGGTGTGCTTGCTCACTGTCTGTTTAAGAATGCTACCAATTCTACTAACAAAAGCCATTCCTGAGCATAGAAAGAAGAAAATTACTCAGTGCTACATAATTTCCCACATCATGTTGTTGCAGCTGGAGAATAAAACCAACCCCATGCATCCATGCCCTCAAGAAATTGAAATTTGAAAAGGGGGAATTGATTCGATTTTAAATTAAGCAAGCAACAGGAAAACATAATGGCTATAATCTCCCAACTTCCCAAGGACATATAGTATTGCTTCCTCAACAGGAAACTAATATGTGGTAAAAGTGTCTCGAGATAAACAAAGTTAGGACTGGTTTGTACCACCTTTCCATGCTGATATACCTTTTTTCGTTTGATATTTCAAAGACACTCTTTAGGCATAACGTCCCACCTGGGACTCTTAACACCATGGTGGGACTCTTAACACCATCTTTTGGTCAGACGAGACACCACCGAAGCTAACAACGGGTTGCATCAAGACTCAAACCACTAAAATTGTTGCAAGCTTCATCCATAGGTAGCCCCCAAGATACTTTAAAAGAATAATAGAATGCAATCATCAACTCAAATAACCACGACCCTTTTTGAGACTTCTCGAGTAAAATACAATATTTTAAGAATTTTTATTAACACAATTATCAACTAAGAAAAAATTATCAATTTAAATAACGACAAGTAGAACAAGAGAGAATCCACAGTGTGGGAGGCTCATGCACTAAGCCGCCCTTTTACAAGTACAATAAGAGAGAATTAAAGACATTAGAAAGACTAGAGTTAATAGCCAATAACACACATAACCATGCAACGGGCAGGGAATGAAATATTAATACAGCATTAACTTGTCTAATATGGAACATGTAGAATTCAGCAACACCACCCGAGTAATCCTGAGACGGTAAAATCGATTATACTAAATCCTACACCAGTTCAGACCCTCCGTGACAATTTAGAGCATTGAGTAGAGTCTAAGCTGAGTTTATGTGCATTTTTGTTACACAAGACCCGTATTCCATGGATGTTTGGGTTCTACACACAATCTCCAAAGACAAATAATTAAAGGACGAGAAAACACCATTCTCAGCATAAACAAATACATACCCATCCTACAAAAACAAACATCTTGTTCACAAAAGACATACCCATCTGTTTTATTTTCAAATAGCCTCTTCCTGAACTAATAGAAGTCGTATAAGGCAGTAAGAACCACAAATCATCTACGCAGAGGTAATTACAGAACCAAAGACAGTGAATCTACATTCATATCATTTACACTCTCCAAAACGACATGATTAACAGCAACAAAAACAGCATCATAATATAACCTCAAAATCAACTTCAGACAAGATAAAAATCGATAAACTCAAAGCCCAGATCACTTTGTATAATCAACTGAAAATTTTATCCAACATCATTAATGAATAAGCATAGAAATAAGTGATATCAAAGGAAAGTAAAGGGTAAGGGCTAGGGTTTCCTACCTTTTCAAATGCGCAACTTCGTCTAGAACCCTCGCGCCTCATGCCTCTACTCTGCCAATGCTTTGAGGGTTTTAAGATTGATGGAATCTCACTTTGCACCCCCAAAAGAATTAACATTTTCCGTTTTGCATTCCTATTTTAAAATTTTCTCACATTATATCCTTCAATATATTAAAAATATTATTTTTTCATTATATTTCGTTGTGTTTTTTTTGTCAAAACCCGCCTCATTGATGTTGGCAGAATAAGTAATAAAAACTAACGAAAATATTACATTTTATTTTTAATGCATTAAGAGTATAATATAAGAAATTTAATTTTTAAAAATATAAAATAAATTTTTTAAATCTTTTAAGATATAAAATATAATATGCCTTTAAGATTTTAGACATCAATCAATATATATTGGGCTTGTTTGATAGAAGTATTATGAGAGGATTCAATATTGAATTATACTATTTTTTATTTAATTGAGCTTAATACTTTGTTTAATAAACAAATTTAATACTGTATTAATTTTAAAAACGTATATTTATCGTATATTTTTTATATAATAAAATATACGATACGTTTGTATTATGAAGATATTTTTTAATACCACTAAGAGAGGTGATATTATAATCCAACTCAATCGTATTATTGTAAACATTTACTATTATAATCCCATAACTGATAAAATTAAGTTGTCGTCAAAGTAACAAACATTGATTGAGGGTATTTTTATTAATTCAACATTAATACGATAAAATAATTTTTTAACCAAACAACCGATTTGATTAAATAGTTACTATCCAATGTTTTATGTTGTGCATTGTCAAACACTAGATAAAATTACATATTATTCTAATATCCTATTTAACCTAATCTTTTGTTCTTCCGTATTGTATTAGACTGAATTACTCTATCTAATCGATCTATTTTTAATACTGCAATCAAATGCACTGATCGTGTCCGAGGGAAACAAATCAGTAATTAATATCCAATACACTAGACCCAAAGCAAAATTGTAGAGTAAATTATACTGGGAAGAATCACAATGACACCTTCTACGAGAGAATTTTATTTATTATTTAGGGATGTAACGGAAGGGAAAAAAAAAACGCATAACAAATTTTTAATTAAATATTTAACTATCAAAAATTATTTTTCAATATTATAGAAAAAAACATAATTTTTGAAGATCGAATTATAACTTTTGAATATTAAGTTATAATTATTTAATATTATTCAATCGTAAATCTTAAATCCTTTAACGTTATAACACGACTTTAATAAATTGTAACTTAATCTTTCTGTATTGTATTTTTTAATTCAACACTTCTTTCCATATTGTGATCTTAGGCAAATGGTAATTGCTTTACTCATGAAAATTGTAATCTAATGGTTGCGACATATTTTTTTTTTATGGACCCAACTTGGGTTCTACATTGTCAAGAAAGGGCCTATAAGGAGGTTGATTATCCACGAAATAGACTTATATATGATTAATAGTTGAGTGAATGATGTAGGGAATTAATGAGACAATTAATAAAGTAATCGATGACAATAAGATAAATATTGGACCAACACACAAATATATAGTGGTTTGGTCAGGGTGACCTACTCCACTTTGAGAAACAACAACGGTGGCCGAAGAACCTTTATTAATGAAGTAAGGTGAACAACAGAGATAGATAACAATGGTTAATTCTGAAAGAGATACAATAGATATGAGAGAGAAAACTTATAAGAGGAGGTGTGTGGAGAGGTGTAAAGACAGATACTCTCTCAATGAAGAGAGCTTACAATTTATAAACATATTTTTAGTTAAGGCGGTGACTTGAAGATAAAGATACTAATTCTTCGAAAAATTACAATAAGTAAGTACAATTAAAGGTTACCTTGATATTCGAGAGTGAGTATCTCGATTATTGTTTCCCATGTGCTTTAATCTTCTTGGATTCGTTGGGCCTTGGGTTGGGTCAAATTTACGAATTGAACTTGACCAATCTTTTAGCTAAATTGGGCCTACTTGATTCATTGGATCTGACCCAATTAAATTTGGGCCCGTCAGAAGCTATTTTGTAGATTGGATTGCAATCATTTAAAAGCCATTTTGTCTTATTATTTTAGATTCATGTCCACTTCCTAAAAATCATAAATTCAAAGGGCTTCAGTTTTTCAAAACCAAATTGCTAAAATCAAAATCAAGTTGGCCATCTTTCTAGTAAAATTATATTAAAACCCATTTAATTCTATAATAATTCATACCATACAAGAGTTACATACGTTGGTACCATTGAGCAACAAATCTGTTGTATGTCATTGGTTATCTTTGTTTCAGTACAAAAACATTCTAGCAATTATCATGGGTCTACATCAAAATCAAATGTTTGATTCTGACTCCAAACGAACTTCATACCATTGGATTGAACCAACATCTCCATCGATTTCAAAAGTTCACAGACAGACCTTACTTGGTAGGAAACAGCATCATCGATGGTTTCAAATCTACCAAGGTCAAGTGGCAGGGCCTTGCTTGGCCGGTTTTCGAGCCTACCCTTCAACCTGTCCCTCAATTCATCCTTAGAAACAAACTCCTCATTCTGTCCAGGTTTCATTATTACATAAGTTTCAGTCCTTATGTTTGCCCTTCTCCTCCTCATTGCAAAAACCTGTTGGGGAAAACAATATTTCCATAATCAGAATCGAATTTGAGTGCATGCAAGTCAAACTAGACTATATATATTTTCTTAAAAAGATGAGATTATCATTGCAATATGCCCTATTGAGCGAAATTGAGGTAAATTTTCACGCTTTTATGCTATTATTAGATAACAGTAACAACACTGACAATTCTGCATATTAGTATATACCAAATTGCTAGCAACCCCAAAGAATTTTCTTTGTACTTATTGATTCAATTGCACTGGTAATGACGGGGAAGGAAACAAATTATCTAGAATTGGGATCCATTTTCCCCCCATTGTTCAACAATCCAAGTAAACCATTCATTTTCATTTGTAGGAAAACTTTCTTGGAAATGAAAATCTATTCAAATAATCCCAGTGTTAGCAGATGCTGGTATTTGTAGTCACATTATATGATGATAAAATCGTCTTGTTAATTTGAAGTTCTCAAGAAAGATGACAAGATATGAACATAAATGGTGAAGAATACGGTATTACCTTTATTGTATTCCTATTTTTGCTCACCTCTTTTGCCAGTTTAGGAGGCATGGATGAACTCAAGTACCATTGACTAACAACAGTTTGTGACCTTGGTTGAACAAATGATTTAGCATGGTGCACTGATTCATTTTTGCCCGCAAAGCAATTGAATCTATTGACAATTTTAGTATTTGGCAAAGTTTGATTCCATATAGGCTAGTAGTTGATGTTGGAAGTTGGAATAGTGAGTTTTGTTCTTGTAACAAATTAAAAAGATATCTCTGTGGGAATTTTTTAATATTGGACTTTCATTAATTGATAGGTAATTTTGAGTTTGGAAAAAATGGGCTGAATTTATGGTCCAATGAGATGAGTTCAATATTGTTAAGTGATTTATTTTAATGAGCTTATGTTCATTTTTTTAATTGATATGGTTGAAGTGGTTAAATGTACGCTTTAATCTAATTGTGACCTATACTGAGAGAGGCTATCAGATTCATCATAAATAGCAAGTTAGGTTTCTTATTCACTTCGTAACTTAATTTAATTTGTACCATTGAGAGCCGCTTATTCCTTTGAAGAAGGAAAGAAAAACCTTACGCATCCACGAAAAAAAAAACCTGAAGATCGAATATCATGACTTACACAGGTATGGTCTAAACTTATATGATTTAAATCTTATAATTTAACTGTTCTAAATTTCATATACGAATCATTAAAATTTTTACAAGCTCTTTTAAGACCCCAGTATCGGTTGACTAGTTCTTTACTCTCCAACTTATTTCCTGGCATTAACAATGAATACCAATAACAACTAGAAAGTCTTCAATAACTATGGGACCGACAGTAAATTCTAATATTTGTCGGAACCCACTACTAATAGTTGTAATGGATGGAGTCAACAATTTATGTCACTATTCTGGACCATTTAGATGGTTACACCCAGTATTCTTATAATATTGCAATCTTGAAGATGAAAATAGAGCTTACAGATGAAACGTTGAATTCCATCGGTAAATAGCTGTTTCTCCGTGGCTCCCCTGCTCTGTTTTTTTTTTTTGGGGGGTAGATCTTCTTTTCCTGGTGACAGTTTCAAATTGTGAAGGCAAAAATGGCAGCAAAACAAGGATAACATGATAAACTTGGGTCTCTCCAATCTTATATCTCTAACCCCTACTTTTCACCATATTTTCAAATATACCCACATATTCCAAGTCTGTTAAAGTAATGATAAAGATTTTGAGAAATTGGAATTATTATTTTGAAAAGGAGAAACAAATATATTTGGAGGTAAGACTGATAATTGGCTCGAGGTTTGGCTTAGATAAGATTTGACTCGAGTTTTACTTGTGTTTTAAACGAGTTGAGTTTGAACATTTTTTAGACTCGTTTTAAAAAATGAGTTTAAAAAAACTCGGCTTATTTATATGTAAAATAATTAAACTACTACAATTCAAGTTGTTTTGAACTTAGCTCGGCTCGGCGAAAGTTCAATCTGTCAAACATTAACTAATCTTCCCATGTCACAACGGCCAAGTATTAGAAAAATGGTGCTCAAAATCTCTTCTTCTTTCGTGTTCTGTGTTTTCAACTGATGCATTAAATCTATCCAAAGTCCTTTGTTCTTTAATTTTGATTTGCGTTTGCTTTTAGTTTCTATTGTAGATTAGATCAAAATGCAAAGGTGAAAGAGCCGATAATCAATTGTATCTTGAAGATGGGTTCAAGGGTTTTCTCCAATATTCAAGTAAGTAAATTTCTTGGCAATTTTATTTGATTATTGTGTCGATTATAAACTGGTTACCAAACTGGCAATTGAACGAGAGCGGAATTTGGCGCAATGGTAAGGTTACTCCATTGTAACTTAAAGGTCCCGAGTTTGAGTTGTAGAAACAATATCTTTGCTAGGCTGCATAAATCTACCTCTCTATAGACTCCGCAATGACGGAAACATCGTACACAGGATATGCCCTAAACGCTAGAAACATAATGGAAATATAAATGAACTTTGTGTCAAATATAAATATTTCTGTTCCGAACAATTTAACAAACGTATGAAATTTTGTAATCTATGCTAGCAAATTGTGAGGTACATATGGGTTTGACATATATGTTGCCTTTCAAGAGCTCAAAACACAGAAATTAAGACTAAAATTTTGATCACCAAGTAGGGTGGTCTAGTGAGGTACTAACCTTATTCCTCGTCTCGAGGTTAGAAATTCAAGTCTTAGAGTTCTTATTGGAGCTTAGTGGTTGACCGCTATGCTAGTGTAGTTAGGTATGGTCCCGAGAGGTGTTTCAAACGCAGTCAGAGGTCTTATGATTCCACCGATAAAGGCCTATCGGGGTAGTCGTTGGGTAATCTTCCTTGCCACTACCCCCTAATTTCAATATCCCAAAAAAAAAAAAAAGGCTAAAATTTTGTACAAATCCACCCACTTTCAAAATCATTAGACAGTATATGTTTAATGTATTCGTGTTTTATCCACGTCTTTTATTTGATATCCATTTCATTTCTTTCATAATATTGTTTTTGAGAAACACAGAAAGAGAACTGCATTTTAAGTCTTTCTTTTTTTTAATCCACAGTAGGCTATAGCCATGATATCTGTAGCACCCAGAAAGTTATTAACGCTCTTTAAGTTTATTCTCTATTGTGCAGGCATGTAGACAGGGGCGGCTCAACGTTATCAGGAGTCCTAGGCGAAATGTTAAATAAGGTCCCATTAATACATATATATATATATATATATACATAATATTAAATAATAACATTTAATAAATGTTGTTAATTTTTTGAGATGCTAAAATATTAATCAGACTTTTAAATTGATATTTTACTAATAAACAATTTTTAATAGATAATATAGCTAATTTCTTCACTTTTTTTGATAACATAATTGATTGTAGATAAAATTTTATTAATTTATAATTCAAAAAAATTTCTTCAAGTAGAATAAACTCATAATGACATTATTTACAATGTTCAATAAGTAATGGAAGCATTTGAAAAAGAATCTAATCTTTTTATGTATCATTATGTCATTGTTCCCATGTATTGTTTCTGTATATGAAAATTCTTAGGACTTTTTCGTAAAAATAAATTAAATTATAAAATAGGTCACATTTTAAAAAAAAAAATTCAAGTTTAAAACCGTATTTTTTCAGAACTTTCACCCCATAAAAGAATTTAATCTTTTAAAACTAAATTAAGAGTCAAAAACATTTGATCTATTTTTAATATTTTAAACCTATATTGGATTAAAGGAATAGTATGATTCCTATTTAAAAATATTTTTCATGCTAATAATTTTTTTTTAGTACTCCAGCTATTTCTTCTTTAATATTAACAATCACTTATACTATATGCATTTGTGTGTGTGTGTGTGTGAGAGAGAGAGAGAATTTACATGTGCATGACATTTTTTTCATCAGATGTCTAACACATTGAAAGTGACTTGGTCTAACTATCTCTGAGATTATTAAAAATAATAGAATATTTGTTGGGCCCTCTTTTCGCAATTGGCTATTGTTTAATTATAAAAATCTCTTTTATAATTTCTTTAGGTCATTTGAGTTCAAACCACTCTATTACAAAAGGCCTTCAACTCAAGATATTTGGGCCCCAAAGCATAAGTAGCCACCTAAGTGACCTATGCCTAGGCCCGGCCCTGCATGTAGATGCGTTGTGTTGATGCGCTAATATTTATTCTACATGTTTGCTGTGATATGTGGATTACTCAGTAAGTGCTTAGCTTGCCCGTTTTGTAGGGATTCACACAGTTCTATTCCCTCAATGCATTTATTGAAATTTTACAATTTGAGATGGTTAAATCCTTCAAGGATCTCGTGTAACCAGACTAACAGTGGAACATGAAAACGGGAGTGGAAACAGTAAGCATTTAAGGATGCATACTGGGGCTTACCAGAGATGATGGCAATCCAGTTATTCAAGACAAAATGTCAGTCACCCCACCACCACCTCTACCTCAACAACCACCACCATTCGCCACCCTACCACCATCACTATTACCACTGTGCGTGCAAGATCCTGCACAATATAAAAAACGAGAACAGATCTTTCCCTTGGTGAACTCGAGTGAGCCGGTTGAGTGACCAACCACGCTGCTTGGAACAGTCTGCGAGGTTCGGTGGTAACCTGGAACGGCAACGGGAGACCCTGGGGGAGCGGAAGAACGATCCAGTAAGGCTGAAAGAGGTCCCTGGAACAAAGAAGAACAAGTTAGAAGGGCGCCAGAGTGTTTTCCGGTGTATCCCCTCCGACGATCTAGTCAGTCTTTGAGAAAGGGAGAGAAAGGAGAAAACACTGAGTGTGTATTGTAGTAAAGAGTTTTTTGTTGCATACCCGTCTTGCCTTTTGCAAGGAGTATTTATACCTCAAAAGCTCATGATTGCTGTCAGTGTAGTCAGTAGATGATCATTAGGTACAGGCAGTGTGCGCACTGATTCTGATGAGGAATGTCTTCTCTTCTTAACTGCTCGGGGTCCCGAGCAATCAATGCTGTGTCATCAGGATGCCGACGGTACAATTTACTCCTCTCGGGGAGGATGCAATAAATGCTCTGTATTAGGAGCATTTATTACCTTTCATTTCCGAGCCTTACCGCATTGAATGCGGTCTCATCAAGGGAATGGTGTAATTAATAGTTTGCTTTCCCAAGTCGCGTGTCAGCAACGGCATGCGGTTTCTCTGTCTTCGATGTGATATCATACGCCACGCGTCCATCCCCTATTGGCTGTGACCCCTGCTTTCCAGTACGTTCTGACACTAATTGTGTAAGACGAGGTCATGATGACTAGCCTAGACTAATGACCTGTACGTCAATAGCTTATCCTGGAGTAGAGGAAGCGTCCAGGACGGGGTACCTCTCGGCACCGAGGAAAGGCTTATCTTGGAACCGAGGGAGGTATGCCGACCGAGGTACCATATCAGACCGAGGCCACGTGTCGGTTGTAAAACATACTGAATGCATGATCCTATATGATGAGTACCTCGGAGGCGAGGACCTTTGTGCGCCGATGGTGCTCGATCTTAGCAACAATGTTTT